GCTTAGGGACAATCATGGCATACAAATGAAACTCCAAGAAATGTCCATGCCAAACCAACCATACTGGTCGGACCAAATAGTGCTGGACAGGCCGAAGGAGGCTGGACGGGCCAGCAGGCCATTCGTGTCAGGGAAGCCGGGCGGGCCACGTTGGCCGCCTGTGAGCACAGAACCGAATGCGGGCCAAGTTTGTATGCATCTTATACATGTATAAAAGGATATGCATCAGGCCATATGAGTGAGCATAGATATTCCCATCTCAGATTGATAAGGGTCATGGATCAGACATAAACAATCTTAAGAGACTTAAACCACCACAAGAAAAATATGCCATATAAGATGGAACCTCAAATGAGGATTGAGGATTGGGAATGGGAATATATGTTGGATATTTATAAATTCTTTCTCTTATAATAAAACTTGAGCCAAATATGGGTGATTGGAAAGTGGCCAAGGTACATGGATTACATAAGGAAGTAAATCCAACTATCCAACATGGAAATGAGAAAGATATAAGCTGGATAAAACAATGGTATTAACCATCAGTGTCTTGGCAAGATCCTCGGACTAGAATATAACATTCTGGACGTCCATATGGTATCAAGGAATGATACAATGCTAGCAAAACTATATGCAAGACACATAGACCCAGAAATGAATGACTATGTCATACCAGCTTATGCACCACGAGTTTAATGTCCTAGTAGAGACATAATCAAGTTGCTATAAAGTCTACAAAGGTAGACCAATAAGTTCCAAAAGAAAGAAACCTCGGAAAGGAAATGAAAGGTGCATTTCATTATGGAATCCGAGTTCAAAGGAAACTAACCAGACATAGAGGAAAACCTGGCCAGGTAAACATCTAAGGTACCAGACCATGTAAGCTTGGGACGCCAAGATTACAAGGCAGGAAAGGTACTGGATAAATAAGATCTAAAATGGATTAGATCATGTCTGAGTAAAATGGAACTATATAAGAGTGTTAACACCAATGGTATAAGAAGACTTATATAAGCAAATAGCACTTGATATTTATGGAAATGGAATGAGGATCATGAACCCATGAAAGAGTACTCATAGATCATAGAATCATGGGGTTCAGAGTATATAAAAGCATGATGTGTGTATTGGCCATATTGGAACACCATCAACCAGTAAGGTCTTGTGGGTATATGAATCCCTGAGGAAAAGNTGAGGAAAAGGTTAAAATGAACTCAGGGTATTCATGTTCTTACACAAGACATAGGAACATATTATTAGGAGATAAACTCCTAAGTGGTGGGTGCTACTAGTCAAATTCGAAATTGGCAAATGTCTGGTCATAAGTTGACATATAATGAGGTAGTAAGTAGCATATGGTTCACTGGATTAATGGTTAAAGGAAAACCATGAAAATGAGAAAAGGAATTCTCAAGAACAGCATTGTTCCTAAGCTGTTCATGGACTGAAAATTATGCAGCTGCAAGTAATATGGAATACTAAGAAAATACTTAGTACAATCAGTCCATATGTATTATACAAAAGGTGTATAGTAAACTAATCCATAGAAAGGATGGATGGTTCAATGATTATGTCATTGGCATTTGTGTTGAAATCAGCACTACCACACTTCATAAGAAGTGGACGTATGGAAAGGCTAAGGGAGCCGTATGGTCCATACCAAAGTTCATATCGACCAAGGCTAGGTCCGGGTACATTCTAAGTCCAAATCATCCATGGTGTGATGACTAATATGTTGGTTCAAAACGTGCTTATGACCTAGAGGTACTAGACTATCAAGGTGCATAGTTTAAAGGTCTTAAGGAACCAATGTAGTATAAACTGTACCTATACATCACCACACACAAGTCATGTTGTTAAGGCAACATTAGGTTATGATATAGCACTCATTGGCGAGTTGTTGACATGTGTGGGTAAGGTCCATGACCATAATGTACTTTGGTACGTTGCTTAATATAAGAAGGTCATGGGACACCATCAAAGGAAGTATGGTATGTGATGTTTGAGTACAAAGGTTATAGTGTGGGACTTGAATGTAAGCACGACCATTAAGCTTTGTATTAATGGATAAAGAAAACTATAAGAGTCCAAAAGAGTGACCAGAAGTAGGCATGGTTAAGTCCTAATAGATATGGTATTGCTAAAGGCAAGAAAGGTCGATAAGTCATGTTTAAAGGTCCATGAGCATTTGCTGCAGATCCATGGTTGGATGTGATCATAATATTCATCGCAGCAACTGGTGAGGTAACTCATAGGTTATGGACGTGATAGTTAAGGTCTATTACCCAACATGAACTTACCCAAAAGATAAGGAAAGGATATCGACCATAATGGACAAGGCCATTAGCACATACAATTGGTGTATGACCAAATGGACTAGGAGTGTCCATGAGAACCTAAGGTTGGTTCATATATGTTTTGGTCTATGACTCTATATAGGATGTCCACGAAATGGCTATGCCATATGATCAGTGGATCTGTGGTACATAAGAGGACACAAGATGGGCCTGCAAACAATGGTTGTATGCAGATCATAAGTCCATCCAAGTGCTGGTCAAGTACCATCCGACCAGGAGACCAGTCCAACAAGGAAATCTGTCCAACCAGGACATAGAATGGTCAGTTGCATGAGAGGCACGACATGACCATATCTTAATGGAGTTCCAGAAGACATTAAGAGACACTAGAAGTTCCAAGATGATCACACGTCAGTGGTGTATTCATCAGGGGGAGTTTCATGTGTTGTACTCTTTTGTCCTGTCCTTGGTTTTCCCTTTTTACCACATTGGGTTTTGGGTTTTACCAGGAGAGGTTTTAATGAGGCAACATCCAAAGCATGAAATGAACTTNCCACACGTCCAGCCCTTTGTATTTATCCATATGTTGTAGTTATCCTAATCATTATGGGATTAGGATAATCATCCCCTTTATTGTTGTAATCCTTATCTCCTAAGGAATATGCTTTATTCTCTTGTATATATATGTATGGTTGTAACCACGTGATTAATAAGATATACAGAGTTACAACAACCTTCTTTATTCCACAACAATTTTTATGCTAACAAAAAGATTGCACTCTAGTATTTATAAGTAATATTACGCGTTACGTAATCATGCTTCTCTGTAGAAATTGTTCAACTCTTGTATCTGTGTATTTCGTGTGAGGTAAGGAGGACACTTGTTTGTTGATAAACTTTGATCAATTTTCATTCTTTTATCGAAATATATAATGGGTAGGATCTGAGAATATGAGTTAGATTCCAATTTTTTTGTCGTGATCTATTGCAATATTTTGTGATTCTACCTGTTATTGCTGCTTGTTTGTGTTCGTTGGTATTTAAGATGATTTAGAGAATTTGGTTATTTGATTATAGAGTTCTTGAATGTTTTTATTGAGACTTGTCAATTGATTACTCAATATGTTTCTGGATGATTAAGCACTTGCCAATTTCAAGTCATGGTTGAAGATAAACCAACAACGAGGGATGCACTTGAGTATCTAAAGATTGTGAAGAAAACATATCAAGATAAACTGGAAGTATACGAGTCATTTCTTGAGGTCATGAGAGACTTCAAAGCTCAGAGGTAATGATTTGTTTTGCTCCTTCATTAGTTTCAACTCTTACTTATACTTTATGTGGAACTGAGGAATCCTATTGTATTTTTAATGGTAGAACGGATACGTGTGGTGTCACATTAAAAGTTAAGGAACTCTTCAAGGGGGAAGAAGAACTGCTTTTGGGTTTTAATACCTTTTTGCCAAAAGGTTTCGAGATAACCATTGAAGGTGACCAAACTGTACCAGATAATGCTGACATTGCCCCAGATAATGCTGACGTTGCTGAGGCAATTAGTTATATCAACAAGGTTAAGGTAGGTGCACTAAATTTGCTAGGAAATATGACTTACAGTTTTTTTTTTATTAATTTTATGAGATAATTTTTTTCTTACATATATAGTATTTGATGTGTATCCCTCCCTATCCGTACTGGAATGTATTTTTATTTTCTGGTTTTTGGTAAATTTATATAATCAATTGATCGGTAGGCAAGGTTTTTGGGGAATAATATGCATGCATACAATTCTTTTTTGGACATTTTGAGCATGTACAAGAAGGAAAAGAAGAGCATCGTTGAAATCAAGCATGAGGTATATCATGTATATATATATGTGCATTGCCACTTTTCTTTTCTTCTCTTTAAAATGATTCAATTTCATTTTTCTTGTGCACAAGGTGGCTATTCTTTTCCGGGACCATAACGATTTGCTCGTGGAATTTGCTCACTTTCTCCCTGGTTATAGATGAAGATGATATTATAGAGAATGATGATTCATGTATGCAATGAAGCCATGCTGTCGTTCGAGCCAACCTATGTCCTATGTTCTATTTTGTTGGCTCTATATGGAATTATTATAGGAATCACTACACCAGAACTTCGAAGATTTGTCATGTCCAAGTTTTGTCATCTGCAATTCAATCATCATTGGTGAATTTTAATTTCATGCAAACTAATTGTGAACCATCATTATAGGAATTCTAACATTGGGTTTGATTTTGCAATTACAAGAAGGATTAGTCTCCAGGATGTCACCGAGAAATTGTTGGTTTTGTTAAAGCTCATGCCCGCATGAATTTACTTTTGGTTTCCTTTCCAAAAGGCCTCGTACTATTAGAGTTGGACTTCTCTTTATATATTACTCTCTTTGTCTAATTCTTCAATGTGGGGCTTAGTTTGTTATCTCACAGAAATTTCACCGACTAATATCGAACTTTATAGTATGATATGGTGCTCATGTGCCTAAAACATATCACTGGTTTTGAAATTCATTATTCACTGATTCACCAGTTTCATTCTACACCAATATAGCCAGCAGATTAGATTTACTAATAAAATCTTCTCGGTAAGTCGTTATATGCGCATGTTGTAAGATGTACTTGGTACTACTAATTTTATGTAATATGTTTTGGGTAACAAATAAGTTCGTTATATAAATAAATCCTAATCCCTTTAAATAGTTAATATTCTTGATCACATTATTAAAAAAGATTGATGTAGTCATTTTTAATTTAGTTTTCCTTTTTTTAATAGTACCAATATATATCCCATAAAACAACCTATATATCCTCTTGGAAATTATTCTCTTGTATCTAGGGTATTTCGAGTTCAATAAGAAGTAAGAACTGCCCCTTTATACCTGTACACAGTACGATATTATTTTCTCTTTTTATATTATATTCAGTGTGTGTGTCAAATAAGGTTATTCGATTAAATTTTCTGGTTAATCACTTTGAACACCTTGTTACTCGTTCTACAATTTTTTCTTTAGTTCTAGTTTCCCTACTTTTTGTTCTTGTTGGGATGATTTTAAGTTTGCTTCTTTGAAATTTGAATATATATAGATTTCTAATTTCTTTTTCGGAGCTTGCATGATTGATATCCCAATGTTGGACAACATTGTATGATCTATTGTTGCTGCTAAAGCTGTTGTATCTTTTGTTTATCTCTTCTCTGGGCAAAATATAATGAAGACTTTCTTTATTTTTGAAAGATGGTTACACCAAAGCTAACGTATGCACTTGAGTACATGAGGACTGTGAAGGATAAATTCAAAGATACACGTGAAAAATATGATGAGTTTCTTGAAGTCATTGCAGATTTCAGAGCTAAGAGGTATAGCTTCTTGTTCCTTGTGAATGTTAGATAGTGCACCTTATTTAGTTCAATCTCTGTCTACACAATAACTCTTTATGATAGTGATAGTATATATTTTATGGTAGAATTGACACTTACGGTGTCATAGTAAAAGTGAAAGAAATCTTCAAGGACCACCAAGAGCTGCTTTTAGGTTTCGATTCATTCTTGCCAAAGGGTTGGAAAATAACCCTCGAGGCTGACCAAACTCCACCAAAAGAGCCGGCCACGTTTGAGGAAGCTATCAGTTTTCTCAACAATGTCAGGGTAGAGATAGATAACTAAGCGAAGCTATAATTAATATTATCTTTTTACTACTTGCATCTAAAGTATCATTTTTTGCTTTTTCTGAAGGCAAGGTTTCAGGATAATGATCGACCATACTTATCTTTTATAGACAATTTGAATATGTATAGGAATAACAAGAGGTCCCTTACTGAGGTCTACGAGGAGGTATGTTTGTAGCCACTTGGTGTAACGTTTTTCTTTGTTTTTGTTGCCCTTCTTGTCTTAGTTTGATATGTTTATCTCGCAGGTGGCTTTTCTGTTCCGGGACCATCACGATTTGTTTGTTGAGTTCACAAGGTTTAACCGTCAGTAGTTCTGGACTACCCTTTCTCTAATTATTGAACAATAACAGAACAATCAAAAAAGAAATAGCAAAGTACTTTAATCCAAATACGTTCGGTTTGGTTTGATGAGCCGTTATTATGATTTCTTGCCGTTTAACTTTGTTGATGCATTGTCTATCCCTTTATTATTAAAACAGAAGCATTTTTAAAGAGTAACCTTTGTTTAGTAAAATATTCACAACTTTGCCATTATTGATGAGGTGTCATTACCACATGTCTCCTCAGAATCCTTTTTTAATAGACCAACATTTACTAGAAGAATTACATAATATGCCATTAGTGATTATATAATGTAGGACTACAAATATATTAAAACACACATCATAGTTTTTAAAAGAGTGCCATGTATTCATATACGCACTATACATTTTGCATGCATGTAACCTTATTTGTTTTAACCATTGAAACACCTGCAGAACAATAGGAAAACGAACATTGCCGAGTAAGAAAACCATATATGTAACTCATCTCTGCTTTCTATTTTCATTCACATTCTTAGAAAGAAGATCCAATGTTTAAATGTCCAAGATTTAACTAAAAAGGATGAGTACTATTCCATTGTTTAAACTGGAAACAAACGAACCATAAGCATAAATGTTCCTTCTAAATATGTTTGATGATATTTTTTTTAATAATATGTTGTATATATTTTGCGTATAGGGTAATTCGTTGTCCTTTACTCAGTCTGGATTAGTTCAATCAATCGTACTCTATGGATTCAAGACCATAGATGTTAAGAGGAAGATGAAGACAGTCTTTAAATATTTAATTAGCGTCTATTTTTAACTAAGACATATTACAAAAGAATCTATATATGGAAGCAATTTATTGGTCTAACTATCTATCGAGGAATTGATTCTCTCAATAGTTAGTGTGATGTATATTCAAAAATATCTATCAAACTAGGTGATTTTCCCGTGCTCATGCACGGGTATGAATATTTATCAAGTAAATATATTGTAATATATTCTAATTTATTAATTTACATAGATATTTACTTTTAATTATAAATTAATTTATAATTTATATGTATAACTTATATTAATAATATTAGATTATCTTAATTCGACATATGATTTAGTAGATGTTATATTTAATCGGTTAGGTTGCTTTTTTTGGTCAATATATTCGATTTGGTTACACTTGTGTATTTTAGATTGCATCTATTTTTCTGAATTCAACTATAATATTTTCCTTCTAAATATGCTAAAACTTTAATTATTATTGTATTTAGATTGGTTATCGTCTTATATATGTAAATATATTTTAATAAGATTATGTATAACTTAATATATATTATGCTTATAATGAAATTTAAAATAAACTGAAATTTTGACACAAAATTATATAAATGAATATAACGATAATATTCTGAAGTCTCATTCATATATATATATATATATATATATATATATATATATAAATTTTACAAAGACAGTGAATTATAACAGTTGGTTAATAATTTTTTTTCTATATTGATATTTTTGAGTCATCCTGTAATCTATATGTATAAAAATAAATAAATAATTACTTTTAAATTATATGTTTTCATTGTAGTTAGATCTTTTATTTTTGATATAAGTTAGATTCGTTCCATTACTCGTCTTGTGAGTATATTATGCTTATAATGAAATTTAAAATAAACTGAAATTTTGACACAAAATTATATAAATGAATATAACGATAATATTCTGAAGTCTCATTCATATATATATATATATATATATATAAATTTTACAAAGACAGTGAATTATAACAGTTGGTTAATAATTTTTTTTCTATATTGATATTTTTGAGTCATCCTGTAATCTATATGTATAAAAATAAATAAATAATTACTTTTAAATTATATGTTTTCGTTGTAGTTAGATCTTTTATTTTTGATATAAGTTAGATTCGTTCCATTACTCGTCTTGTGAGTATATTGAGTTATATATATTTTTCTAATTAAATCAAATCAAATTAGTTTTATTTATCGCTTAATGCAAGTATTTTATAAGATTTTTAATAATTGTACATATGTTGATTTTTAAGATATATTAAAAATAAAGTGACGATCAATAAGAATTTACAATCATAAATATGAGTATAAAGATAAACATTTGAAATTTCATGAGAACATATTAATATTTACAATAATTAAATATTTATAAATTCTAAATTATTTTATACCTTAGATTTCTTAAAAGGTAAATTGAAATTTTTTAAACAATCNAGTGACGATCAATAAGAATTTACAATCATAAATATGAGTATAAAGATAAACATTTGAAATTTCATGAGAACATATTAATATTTACAATAATTAAATATTTATAAATTCTAAATTATTTTATACCTTAGATTTCTTAAAAGGTAAATTGAAATTTTTTAAACAATCTTAAAAATGAGAACTTAGATTTACTTAAGTATTTGATTATTTATCTATTAAGTTCCATAAACATAAAAAACATAAAATTAAAAAGCAAACTATATATTAAAAAGAATTTTTAATAATGATAAAATATTATATTTTCATTTCATTAATAGTGTATAGTGCTATGCTATTTAAAAAAAAAATTGAAATTATTTGATCAGAATATTTATGTGTTAAAAAAAATTATTTTATTTTTTAATATCTCTTAAATAAACACTAAAAATGTTGTTTTATGAAAATGTCGAAAAAAATATTTAATTTCGTTTATATATAAACATTTTTATTTCAGAAATATTTCTTTTTTTGTATATGTGTGTTTAAAAAGTAAACATAAATTAAAAAATTAAGTAAAATCTTATTATGAGAAAAGGAAATACATTATTCATATCAATCTTATTTAATATTTTTGTTTATTAAGAGTATCTATGTAATTAACCATCGTGAGAGTTAACGTGAGCGAGACACGTAGGAAACTGACTTCTCAAATAATATTATAGAGATACATTTAAATTAAATATTATTATTTTGTGAACTTTCCTTTTTTTATTAAACCATATTATATATA